ATGCTAACATTTTCATATTTCATGAAATAATTGCGGAATAACTGAAAGGAAAAGAAAAGAGATTACATATCATTCAAAATAAAGTATTAAGATTTTACATTAAAAACTTCAAGACCCGTTAAACCCCCTCGATTTATTGTCATATTTAATCAAAAGTTCTGTTATATTAGGATAATGACAAATATATTGCTAATGTTTAAGTACAAATATCTTTAAAACCCTGATGTTATTATTAAATGCAATATAGCAGAGGACCTAAGATTTCAGAAACTTTTACTTTTAATTATCTTGCTTAAATACTCAGAGAGTTATAGGCCGTCAAAGTTAAACATCTGGAGATTGTTCAAAGACTTTATTAACATCCACAATTTTTACAAATATGTTTGATTTATATATCTTGTTGCAAAACAATGTGGGAGTGAATCAAAGAGCAGGATCCCAGCTTTCAAAAAATTCCACTTTTAAACACTCTCCAATTATACAGGGTGCTCTACAAACTGTCAAACTTATTTTCCACGTTTCCAATGAGCACTTTTTATGAACTTTCACGAATATGAGGGTTACTTTTAAAGAAGTGATCCTACGTTATAAACAACATATAGGAATTATAAAGGAGGACCTAAGCTTTCAGGAACTTTTACTTGGAACCACCCTGTTAAGACAGGCAGGAAGTAAATTGCCACTAAATTCCACCATCTTAAAGGTTAGAAACTTAGAAACAATTATAAACTAAAATACTAGTCCAATGACACAACAGTATATAAAAAGGATCATGGATAAAAACCTAAAAATTACAAAAATAAATCTTTGAATCACCCTGTTACTTTATAGACTGAGCTACAAAATGTCAAAGTTGTCTCTCTCGATTGCACAATAGAAACTTGTACAAATATAACTTCTAGTTTAATTGCAATATAACTTGTATAAGGAATCATAAAAGAGGCCCTAAGCTTTCCAAAACTGTTATAGTGAATCACCCTGTTGAAATACAGCCCGTCAAAATTGCTCATTTAAAGGATGTGAAAATCGTTCTGCGTTTAAACTTAAACGTTTACAAATATAAACTGGATTAATAGTTATCCAAGTTCAAAATAATGTTATTAGAACTTACGAAGAAGCAATCGGGCTTTTAGAAAATTAAACTCTGTGTCACCTTGTTACAATACAGGGTGTGTTCTTCAAATATCTGTATCTTTACAAAACCTACAAATATGACCGTAACTTTAAAAAATATGATCTTAACTTGAATAAATGGTATATAAAATTCATAGAAAGAGAACTGAGCTCTCATTAACATTTACTTTGAGTCACCCTGTAGAACTATGCGGTGAGTTATAGGCTGTCAAAGTTTATTATCTTAAATGTGTGAAAATTTCGTTGGAACTCCTTACTTCAATCACTTAAGACAAAACTACTTCTCCGATTTTAAAACAATATATGAGAGAATCAACAAGATAGACCCAAGAATACTGAAAATTAAGTTTTGAATTGCCTTGTTTAAATACAGGGTGTACTATTGGTTCACAAAGTTAAGAATCACAAATTTGAAAAAAAATATTTAAGAATTTGTAATTTTTACACAATCAAAATAGTCTAATATCTTTACTTTGTATTTGAGAATTGTAAAGGAAGAGCTAAGCTTAAAATGAAATCAACTTTACATCACCCTGTTAAAATACAGGATGTTATATCGGTTCACAAAGTTTAAGAGTCCCAAATGTGAAAAAGATTAACAATTTGCAACTTTTATAAGTAAAATATAGTAGAAAAGGAAATAATTTAGATCAGAATCATAAAGGAGATCTTAAGCTTTCTGAAAATTAAGCTTTGAATTACCCTGTTTAAATACAGACTGTTCCATAAGCATTCAAAATTGAAAACATCAAATGTAAAAAAACTAATATCAGACTGGAAAACAATATTAAATAGTATAATTGGAAAACTTTGTATTGGAGAATCATAGAGGAGGATCTAAGCTTTCAGAGACTCAAACTTTGAAACACCCTGTTTAAATACCGGCCGTTCTTTATATTAACAAAGTTAAAAATGCCAAATGTGAGAAAAACATTTTAGATAGTTTAACTTTTACGAATATTAAATAGTATAATTGAAAAACAATGTTCGTGAGAATCGTAAAGAAGGACCTAAGCTTTCTGAAAACTTAACTTTGAATCACCCTGTTTAAATACAGGCGGTTACATAGGTTGCCAAAGTTAACCACTATTGGTGAAGAGAAATTCTATAAAAGCTTTTTAATTTTTACGAATTTGAACAAATCTGCTGGACCAATTTAAAAACAACTTTCAGATAATTAAACTTTTAAACAGCCTGTCAAAATTAATACAAAACTGTAAGCTGTCAAAGTTAGACATATTGTTGGTAGTTAAATTAGACAGTCTGTAGCTTAGTATGTATTGTTGCAGGGTGGTTCAAAGTATAATTTTTTGAAAGCTTAAATCCAGTTCCATAATTTTGATATACATTATTTTACGATTGTATTTATAGTTTAGAAGTATCTTTATAAAACTTATAAAGACAATTTTCCAAATCCATAATGGGTCAACTTTGACCCACTACAGCTCAACTTAAAGCACTATTAATTAACACTTTAAATATTATTCTAAAAGCTTAAACATTTCTCTAATAATTCCCAAAAATTTGGAAACTATAGCTTTCTAGAACACCTTACCTCTATGGCCTCCTCATATAAATCCTCTGTTATTTTTATAATTTCCACTTCACCTATAATTAACACATTACAAAAACAAAACACAATAATTTTAATACAATTTATTTAAAATTTTATCTTTTACAAATTTTTAAAATACCATCACATATTAACTGCAAACTTTGAGAAGGCATTTTTACACTTTTAATTCAAACTTAAGCTAAGCTTTCAAAACGAATACAACCGTTTAGCAACCCTTATTAATTTATACTGACATCCAAATACAACAATTTATTATATTATTCTTATAAAAATCTGAAAAAACTGCAAATGTAAGTAAATTACTTGTACGAGTACAAACTACAATCAAAAGAATTTTTCCAGAGATACAATTTAACAAGATCATCATTAAATAATGAGCGAAATTTAACCAAAAAGAGAGAGACAGAGGGAGAATGAGAGTAAAAGTTTATAATATTAAAATAAATGAAAATAAACTATTTTTAAATTAAAATTAAAAATATCACTCATTGTCGGAATTATTTGACAGTTGACTTCTATTAGCAGGGAATAAACAGTATAATGTTTGTGCTATTTATTCTTTATTTTATAATTTTAATAGAAAAGTCTTTAATTGAATTGATGAACAAAAGAAATGTATGGGAAAAAATGGGAGCAACTAAATTAATAGTAGGGCTATGCGGCCTATTATTGTATTTGTTGTATGGTGTATAGTGGAAAATTTTAAATAAGGAAAAGAACTAAATAAAGAAAGTATAATAAATAAAACAATTTAAATAACAACTAAATCTAATATTTGTGAAAAACAACATTGAAACTCAGCTTTTTATCTTCTACGTTGATGTGAAAAATTTTATCAAATTGCAGAGATTTTTTTTAACGTTATATCACTTTGCAGTGAATGTCGTGTTAGAATGATCACAAGTAGATTTTATACAAAAAAAAATGTTATATTTTTTGTATTGCTTAATTATTAGAACTAGAACTGAATTAGAACTTGGACTGAACTAGAACTGAACTAGAACTGAACTAGAACTGAACTAGAACTGAACTAGAACTGAACTAGAACTGAACTAGAACTGAACTGAACTAGAACTGAACTAGAACTGAACTAGAACTGAACTAGAACTAGAACTGAACTAGAACTGAACTGAACTAGAACTGAACTAGAACTGAACTGAACTAGAACTGAAATAGAACTGAACTAGAACTGAAATAGAACTGAACTAGAACTGAACTAGAACTGAACTAGAACTGAACTAGAACTGAACTAGAACTGAACTAGATCTGAACTACAACTGAACTAGAACTGAACTAGAACTGAACTACAACTGAACTAGAACTGAACTAGAACTGAACTAGAACTGAACTAAAACTGAACTAGAACTGAAATAGAACTGAACTAGAACTGAACTAGAACTGAACTAGAACTGAACTAGAACTGAACTACAACTGAACTACAACTGAACTACAACTGAACTACAACTGAACTAGAACTGAACTAGAACTGAACTAAAACTGAACTACAACTGAACTACAACTGAACTACAACTGAACTACAACTGAACTAAAACTGAACTAGAACTGAAATAGAACTGAACTAGAACTGAACTAGAACTGAACTAGAACTGAACTACAACTGAACTACAACTGAACTACAACTGAACTACAACTGAACTAGAACTGAACTAGAACTGAACTAAAACTGAACTAGAACTGAACTAGAACTGAACTAGAACTGAACTAGAACTGAACTAGAACTGAACTAGAACTGAACTAGAACTGAACTAGAACTGAACTAGAACTGAACTAGAACTGAACTAGAACTGAACTAGAACTGAACTACAACTGAACTACAACTGAACTACAACTGAACTAGAACTGAACTAGAACTGAACTAGAACTGAACTAGAACTGAACTACAACTGAACTACAACTGAACTACAACTGAACTAAAACTGAACTAAAACTGAACTAGAACTGAACTAGAACTGAACTAGAACTGAACTAGAACTGTACTAGAACTGAACTAGAACTGAACTAGAACTGAACTAGAACTGAACTAGAACTGAACTAGAACTGAACGAGAACTGAACTAGAACTGAACTAGAACTGAACTAGAACTGAACTAGAACTGAACTAGAACTGAACTAGAACTGAACTACAACTGAACTACAACTGAACTACAACTGAACTACAACTGAACTAGAACTGAACTAGAACTGAACTAGAACTGAACTAGAACTGAACTAGAACTGAACTAGAACTGAACTAGAATTTAAATAGAATTTAAATAGAACTGGAACTGAACTAGAACTAAAATTTAAAAATTTATTTCAACTTTAAATAACTGAATACAACAATAATAAATGATCACAATCTAATAGCCACAAATGTTGAATACTTATGTATAGGATCAATTTTCTCCGCAAAAGTTTTGCCCTCAAACGAAAATTCTGAATTTTCCACGCTAAATAAATTTTCAAGACCCAACTTCTCTGCCACAATTTGCGTATAACGTGAGGTGGCAACTGATATTAAAGCTTTAGGCGTTTGTCCCCTTATATGTTCGGGCAATTGTTGCGACTCATCCCAGTCATTCTCTTTAAGTTTGCCAGCATATTCCAACGCATATTTAGCCAAAGAGAAAGCAATGCCACGTTTAGCATAATCGGTGCGTGTAGTAATGAACATTAACTCAAAGGCACAATCGATTTGCCACTCCTTGAAAATGTCATAAGTGCATTCGACAGTGTGGAGATATTCAGCCACTTTCTGCATATTGGGAGATTTGAAAGAGGCAAAAACCTCATCTAAAGTTATTTGAGCAGAAGGATTCTGGCAAAATGATTAAGAGATTTAATAAGCTTTTAGTTACTTTCTTTGGAACAACTTACCACAATTTTATTAATGCATATGGCCACTAGTTTCTGAGTTTTTACATCTCGGGCCGCAAATGAGATGTTATCTTTTAATGTCGCCTTTATAAAGATTTTCATTTCTTCCGGGCATTCGTGTAGATTACAGGCAATGCTGACATTTTCATATTTCAAGAAATACTCGAGAAACAACTTAAAGAAAAATCGGGAAGTTGAAGTAAGTCAAGGGCTCTTTCTTTTCTAATACATACTTTACCTTTACGGCATCTTCATATAAATCCTCAGTTATTTTTATTATTTCCACTTCATCTGTAAAAATTGAAAATATAAAAACACACAAAATTTTGAATTAAACTTTTTAAATATTAAAATTTTTTCTCCCTTTAAAATTACCATCACAAATTAACTGCAAACGCTGAGAAAACATTTTCGTATTTAAATATGTCCGTTTAGCAAACCTTTTAAATCTGTAATAAAATCTAATTACAATAATTTCTATAACATTCTTAAGAATTTCTTGAATACTATTAATATAAATCTAAATTTAAAATCAACTGTGTGGTATACATAGATGACTTAACAAGAGTATAAAATAATTTAATGCAGTAATAAATGGAAGTAATAACTTTTAACTGAAACCATTCATTAAAGATTGATAACACTACTTTAAAAAAAGAGAGTTCAATATTTCAAACACCGATTCTGATCTAAAAACTGAATTAAAATGGAATTTGAACTGAACAAGGACTGAACTAGAACTGAACTAGAACTGAACTCGAACTGAACTAGAACTGAACTAGAACTGAACTAGAACTGAACTAGAACTGAACTAGAACTGACTAGAACTGAACTAGAACTGAACTAGAACTGAACTGAACTAGAACTGAACTAGAACTGAACTAGAACTGAACTAGACTGAACTAGAACTGAACTTAGAACTGAACTAGAACTGAACTAGAACTGAACTAGAACTGAACTAGAACTGAACTAGAACTGAACTAGAACTGAACTAGAACTGAACTGAACTAGATCTGAATTAGAACTGAACTAGAACTGAATCAGAACTGAACTAGAACTGAACTAGAACTGAACTAGATCTGAACCAGAACTGAACTAGAACTGAACTAGAACTGAATTAGAACTGAACTAGAACTGAACTAGAACTGAACTAGAACTGAACTGAACTAGATCTGAATTAGAACTGAACTAGAACTGAACTAGAACTGAACTAGAACTGAACTAGAACTGAACTAGAACTGAACTAGAACTGAACTAGAACTGAACTAGAACTGAACTAGAACTGAACTAGAACTGAACTAGAACTGAACTAGATCTGAACCAGAACTGAACTAGAAGTGAACTAGAACTGAATTAGAACTGAACTAGAACTGAACTAGAACTGAACTAGAACTGAACTGAACTAGATCTGAATTAGAACTGAACTAGAACTGAACTAGAACTGAACTAGAACTGAACTAGAACTGAACTAGAACTGAACTAGAACTGAACTAGAACTGAACTAGAACTGAACTAGAACTGAACTAGAACTGAACTAGAACTGAACTAGAACTGAACTAGAACTGAACTAGAACTGAACTACAACTGAACTACAACTGAACTACAACTGAACTGCAACTGAACTACAACTGAACTACAACTGAACTACAACTGAACTAGAACTGAACTAGACTGAACTAGAAACTGAACTAGAACTGAACTAGAACTGAACTAGAACTGAACTAGAACTGAACTAGAACTGACTAGAACTGAACTAGAACTGAACTAGAACTGAACTAGAACTGAACTAGAACTGAACTAGAACTGAACTAGAACTGAACTAGAACTGAACTAGAACTGAACTAGAACTGAACTAGAACTGAACTAGAACTGAACTGAACTAGAACTGAACTAGAACTGAACTAGAACTGAACTAGATCTGAACTAGAATCTGAACTAGAAACTGAACTAGAACTAAACTAGAACTGAACTAGAACTGAACTAGAACTAAACTAGAACTGAACTAGAACTGAACTAGAACTGAACTAGAACTGAACTAGAACTGAACTAGAACTGAACTTGAACTGAACTAGAACTGAACTAGAACTGAACTAGAACTGAACTAGAACTGAACTAGAACTGAACTAGAACTGAACTAGAACTGAACTAGAACTGAACTAGAACTGAACTAGAACTGAACTAGAACTAAACTAGAACTGAACTAGAACTGAACTAGAACTGAACTAGAACTGAACTAGAACTGAACTAGAACTGAACTAGAACTGAACTAGAACTGAACTAGAACTGAACAAGAACTAAACTAGAACTGAACTGAACTGAACTAGAACTGAACTAGAACTGAACTAGAACCTGAACTAGAGCTGAACTAGAACTGAACTAGAACTGAACTAGAACTGAACAAGAACTGAACTAGAACTGAACTGAACTAGAACTGAACTAGAACTGAACCAGAACTGAACTAGAACTGAACTAAAACTGAACAAGAACTGAACTAGAACTGAACTAGCACTGAACAAGAACTGAACTAGAACTTAACTAGAACTGAACTAGGACTGAATTTTAATTAAACTAGAATAAACTAAACTAAATAAATACTTTAAGGACTGTTTATTTATTTCTACTAATATTTTCACTTTTAAAACTAATTGTTTGTTAATTAATCAAAATAAATTCTCCTCCGCATCAAAAAATACTCTAAACCAAATACACCACATGCTCACAACCCTTATGCCTCGGATCTATACGTTGATCATAGGTTTTTCCCTCAAATGAGAACTGTGTATAGGGCACTGTATTAACAACTGTAAAACCCTCGGCTTTGCCAACTTTTGAGAAAACATTGAGGTAAAGATGGCAGTAACAGCTTTTGGTATACGTTTCCTCAAAGATGGATGTATTTCCTCCAAACCTATACCATTTTTCAATTCCTTTGTCAACTCGATGGTGTGTTTTGCTAAAGCCTTAGCTATGCCCTTACGTTCCCATTGCGGCAATGTGGCCAGAAACATCAGCTCACAAGTACAATCCAAATTGAATTTTTCAAAGATATCATACTGCTCATCGACCGAAGCCATAAAGTCCATTAGCGATTGGGCATTAGGAGATTTGGCATTTCTTTGCGGAATTTAACAAAGAACACATCTTCGCCGTTGTCGGGAATGAACTGGAAAGGTATAACTTTATGTGAAAATTTTTTAACTTTAAGATATTGTTAATATAGGATTTTACCTGTATTTTATTGAAAGCTACTGCTACTGGCTTTCCTGTAGACTTTTCCACTGCTATTAATGACACACCATCTTCGGCTGTTATGCGCGATAATTCTCTTAGATCCTTTTTAGCTTGTACGTTTTCAGGTAAATTGATTTTTGTGGCCACAGCTATGGATTCGTATAAAAAGAAGGAACCTTCTAAAACCTGAAAACATGAGAGTTGGATATGAGAATTAAACAAGAATTGAACTAGAACTGAACTAAAACTGAACTAAAACTGAACTAGAACTGAACTAGAACAGAACTAGAACTGAACTAGAACTGAACTAGAACTGAACTAGAACTGAACTAGAACTGAACTAGAACTGAACTAGAACTGAACTAGAACTGAACTAGAACTGAACTAGAACTGAACTAGAACTGAACTAGAACTGAACTAGAACTGAACTAGAACTGAACTAGAACTGAACTAGAACTAAACTAGAACTGCACTAAAACTGAACTAGAACTGAACTAGAACTGAACTAGAACTGAACTAGAACTGAACTAGAACTGAACTAGAACTGAACTTGAACTGAACTAGAACTGAACTAGAACAGAACTAGAACTAAACTAGAACTGCACTAAAACTGAATAGAACTGAACTAGAACTGAACTAGAACTGAACTAGAACTGAACTAGAACTGAACTAGAACTGAACTAAAACTGAACTAGAACTGAACTAGAACTGAACTAAAACTGAACTAGAACTGAACTAGAACTGAACTAGAACTGAACTAGAACTGAACTAGAACTGAACTAGAACTGAACTACAACTGAACTACAACTGAACTACAACTGAACTACAACTGAACTATAACTGAACTAGAACTGAACTAAAACTGAACTAGAACTGAACTAGAACTGAACTAGAACTGAACTAGAACTGAACTAGAACTGAACTAGAACTGAACTAGAACTGAACTAGAACTGAACTAGAACTGAACTAGAACTGAACTAGAACTGAACTAGAACTGAACTAGAACTGAACTAGAACTGAACTAGAACTGAACTAGAACTGAATTAGAACTGAACTAGAACTGAACTAGAACTGAACTGGAACTGAACTAGAACTGAACTAGAACTGAACTGGAACTGAACTAGAACTGAACTAGAACTGAACTAGAACTGAACTAGAACTGAACTAGAACTGAACTAGAACTGAACTAGAACTGAACTAGAACTGAACTAGAACTGAACTAGAACTGAACTAGAACTGAACTAGAACTGAACTAGAACTGAACTAGAACTGAACTAGAACTGAACTAGAACTGAACTAGAACTGAACTAGAACTGAACTAGAACTGAACTAGAACTGAACTAGAACTGAACTAGAACTGAACTAGAACTGAACTAGAACTGAACTAGAACTGAACTAGAACTGAACTAGAACTGAACTAGAACTGAACTAGAACTGAACTAGAACTGAACTAGAACTGAACTAGAACTGAACTAAAACAGAACTAGAACTGAACTAGAACTGAACTAGAACTGAACTAGAAACTGAACTAGAACTGAACTAGAACTGAACTAGAACTGAACTGAACTTGAAGTGAACTAGAACTGAACTAGAACTGAACTAGAACTGAACTAGAACTGAACTGAACTTGAAGTGGTAGAACTGAACTAGAACTGAACTAGAACTGAACTAGAACTGAACTAGAACTGAACTAGAACTGAACTAGAACTGAACTAGAACTGAACTAGAACTGAACTAGAACTGAACTAGAACTGAACTAGAACTGAACTAGAACTGAACTAGAACTGAACTAGAACTGAACTAGAACTGAACTAGAACTGAACTAGAACTGAACTAGAACTGAACTAGAACTGAACTAGAACTGAACTAGAACTGAACTAGAACTGAACTAGAACTGAACTAGAACTGAACTAGAACTGAACTAGAACTGAACTAGAACTGAACTAGAACTGAACTAGAACTGAACTAGAACTGAACTAGAACTGAACTAGAACTGAACTAGAACTGAACTAGAACTGAACTGAACTAGAACTGAACTGAACTAGAACTGAACTAGAAATAAACTAGAACTTAACTAGAACTTAACTAGAACTAAACTAGAATTGAACTGAACCATGAACTTAACAAGAATCGAACTAAATCCCCATTTTAAAACGAGGAATTCCCTCGAACTGTTGATTTCAATTAAAATTTTATTTTTAAAACACTCACATCCAAAGCTGCTTCCAATTTGTCCTCGGTCAATGAACGGATTTCAATTTGATCTACATATAATTTAGGAAAATATGAAATAATATAATTACGTTTTAAAAAAAATCTTTAAACTACAACTTACCCTCACAAATTGTGGACCAAAGTCTGCCATTAGTTGGTCTCATTTTAAAGAAATAATCGTTATTATATTCCCGTTATTAATTAAATTAACCTTTTAGTAGCAATGTCTAACTAACACTGATTTAATTTGAATATACAAATAATATAAAAATTGCTGGTGGTTGATTATTTGACCGATTAGTACTTTTAGCTGGCACACTTGGCAATAAACTGATAACAATTTGTTTAAAATTGAAATCTCTAAAGATTTGTTTTTGTCTGAAAACAAAAAAAAAATTTTAAATAAAAGGAAAAATATAATAAATAAGTAAATATTACACAAATATGGATAATGACGTCATATAAGGTCGATAGGAAATTTTGATAACAATTTTGGTTTAAAAATGTTTGGGAATGTGTTTAGAATATTAAAATGGTTGGAGGGACCATCCAAAAAGTGATTTTAACGCATTTTCAGATACCAGCTGGTTGGCAACTACTAACATTTACTCTTCTGACATTGACATTGAAAGTTAAGAGAAATTCAGGAAAATATAAACCAATTTTCAAATTTTACTAAATTTCAATATTAACACATTTTAAGAAAATTTATATCTATATAAAAAATGGAACTAATTCTTACTAATCCTTTTGAAATAACTCACAATATTAAATAGTTAAACTAAATTTAATTATATCTTTTAAATTAATGTGCGTGCTTTTTATTAATCGCGTTTGTTTGTTTAAAATACTTGATTATTACTAATTTAACTTATCATGATAAGTTGAATTATTGCAAACAAAAAAAAAAAAAAAAAAAACATTAAATAAAAATTGGCATAGCTGCCAATCGATATGTAATTTGATAAGTTAATTTTAGAATAATAACTAATAAAATGCGGTTAAGATGAGTGTGTGTTTAGGAATATTAAATATTTAAATTATATTTATTTTCTAATGGAAGGCAGTTATTATTAAGTGATTACAGTAATTGTCAATTGAGACATGCATATGAAATTAGTTTTATATTAAAAATTTGTTAGTAAACATGTTAGTTTTTCATTAGGTTTAAGTGAAATTATTTGAGATAAGACCACATGATTTTAAACAATTAGTAAAATAAATAAAATGTGCTTAAAGCTCTTTTATAGATAGATTTAAAAATTTATTAACAAATTTATCACACCTTTAAAATGTAAATGAAATATTGTTGTTTTTATGTGGGATAACTGAAAATTATAGATTCCATTTCTTTATCCAAAATCTAATAAAACTCCATTTTGTAATACTCTGATTAATTAGTTCCAATTTATAAAATTAATCTTCTTTCTAAAGACAAACTTTCCCCTTATTTATACCTGCTTTATCAATATTAGTACCGTTTTACTCTATATAAACTGCAATACCGACTGATTAACGTTTTATCTATTTATAAAAATGTAAATTAAAAAGCTGTTTAAATTTTTTACACTTATCTTATATGATAATTAGAAGATTAAAAGATAATTCTTATTTATATGCAAAATATCAATCAACATATTATTACTAGGGTTCTATAGTTGAAACGAAAAGTCGACTTTTCGACTTTTTGCATTTAGTTAAAAGTCGACTTTTCGACCTTTCGACTTTTTCCATTTTATGAAAAGTTGATTTTTCGACTTTTTGACCTTTTTCATTTATTTAAAAGTCGACTTTTAGACTTTTCGACTTTTAGTATTTATAAATGGTCGACTTTTCGACCTTTCGACTTTTCGACTTTTTCCGACTTTTTCGACTTTCGACTTTTTCCGACTTTTTCGACTTTTTCGACTTTTTTCGACTTTCGACTTTTTCGACTTTTCGACTTTTTTCGACCTTTTTCGACTTTTTCGACTTTTCGACTTTTTCCGACTTTTCGATTTTTTACGACTTTTTGACTATTTTCGACTTATTTCGACTTTTTTTCGACTATTTTTTTACTTTTTTCGAGTTTTTCCGACTATTTTAGAGTTTTTGACCTCTTTTCCACTTTTTTAAAATTTTCGACTATTTCCGACTTTTCGACTTTTTCCGACTTTTCGACTTTTACCGACTTTTCGACTTTTTTCGACTTTCTTCGACCTTTTTCGACTTTTCGACTTTTTCGACTTTTCGACTTTTTTCGACTTTTCGACTTTTTTCGACTTTTCGACTTTTTTCGACTTTTATTTACAAAGTCGACTTTTCGACTTTTTCATAGACGATAGTCGAGTTATCGACTTTTTTGGAACAAAATAGTCGACTTCGACTTTTCGACTTTTTCGGCAAAAGGTCGATTGTTCGATTATTCGAAAGTCGATTTATAGAACCCTAATTATTACTATTGCAAATTAAATTGCAGTCTAACTCTAAACTAAGTCTAATAGTTGGCAATGCTGTATACAATATGTAAAGTCGGGTTACTTATACGCAACGTAGTGGTAACGTTTTTATCTGCAGAAGAGAAATAAAATAACAATTTTCAGTTTTAATTCAATTTCAGTTCTAGTTTAGTTCTAGTTCAGTTTTATCTCAATTCTAATTCTGTTCTATCTAAGTTCTAAGAGTTTTATATCAGGTCTATTTTAGTTCTAGCTCAGTTCAGTTCTAGTTCAGTTCAAGTTCAGTTCTAGTTCAGTTCTAGTTAAGTTCTAGTTCAGTTCTAGGTCAGTTCTAGTTCAGTTCTAGTTCAGTTCTAGTTCAGTTCTAGTTCAGTTCTAGTTCAGTTCTAGTTCAGTTCTAGTTCAGTTCTAGTTCAGTTCTAGTTCAGTTCTAGTTCAGTTCTAGTTCAGTTGTAGTTCAGTTCTAGTTCAGTTCAGCTCTAGTTCAGCTTCTAGTTCAGTTCTAGTTCAGGTTTCTAGTTCAGTGCTAGTTCAGTTCTCGTTCCGTTCTAGTTCAGCTAGTTAGCTTCAGTGGTTCTAGTTCAGTTTCTAGTTCCGTTCTAAGTTCAGTTCTAGTTCCAGTTCTAGTTCAGTTCAGTTCAGTTCTAGTTCAGTTCTAGTTTTTTCAGTTCTAGTTCAGTTCTAGTTCAGTTCTAGTTCAGTTTAGTTCAGTTCTAGTTCAGTTTCTAGTTCAGTTCTAGTTCAGTTTCTAGTTCAGTTCTAGTTCAGTTCTAGTTTCCGTTCTAGTTCAGTTCTAGTTCAGTTCTAGTTCCGTTCTAGTTCAGTTCTAGTTCAGTTCCTAGTTCAGTTCTTAGTTTCAGTTCTAGTTCAGTTCTAGTTCAGTTTCTAGATTCAGTTCTAGTTCAGTTTCTAGTTCAGTTCTGTTCAGGTTCTAGTTCAGTTCTAGTTCTAGTTCAGTCTAGTTCAGGTTCTAGTTCAGTTCTCGTTCAGTTCTAGTTCAGTTTTCGTTAGTTCAGTTTCAGTTCAGTTCTAGTTCAGTTCTAGTTTCAGTTCTAGTTCAGTTCTAGTTCAGTTCTAGTTCAGTTCTAGTTCAGTTCTATTTCAGTTCTATTTCAGTTCTAGTTCAGTTCTAGTTCAGTTCTAGTTTAGTTCTAGTTCAGTTCTAGTTCAGTTCTAGTTCAGTTCTAGTTCAATTCTAGTTCAGTTCTAGTTCAGTTCTAGTTCAGTTCTAGTTCAGTTCTAGTTCAGTTCTAGTTCAATTCTAGTTCAGTTTTGCTCTAGTTCTGTTATAGATCAGTTCTAGTTCAGTTCTAGTTCAGTTCTAGTTCAGTTCTAGTTCAGTTCTAGTTCAGTTCTAGCTCAGTTCTAGTTCAGTTCTAGTTCAGTTCTAGTTCAGTTCTAGTTCAGTTCTAGTTCAGTTCTAGTTCAGTTCTAGTTCAGTTCTAGTTCAGTTCTAGTTCAGTTCTAGTTCAGTTCTAGTTCAGTTCTAGTTCAGTTCTAGTTCAGTTCTAGTTCAGTTCTAGTTCAGTTCTAGTTCAGTTCTAGTTCAGTTCTAGTTCAGTTCTAGTTCAGTTCTAGTTCAGTTCTAGTTCAGTTCTAGTTCAGTTCTAGTTCAGTTCTATTTCAGTTCTAGTTCAGTTCTAGTTCAGTTCTTGTTCAGTTCTTGTTTAGTTCTAGTTTAGTTCTACTTTAGTTCTAGTTCAGTTCTGGTTCAGTGCTAGTTCATTTCTATTTCAGTTCCACTTTAATCAGTAATTTATTTAAATATATCTTTTATAAAATCTGCTTATTTTTTTCTCACAGTGTAAAAAAACTACCGTTAGTATATTATTAAAACATTTTACATTAGTTGGCAACTCCAACAAATGCAAAATACACAAACAACTGCATCTAACAGCTGTTCAATATAAACAATTCTTTTTACTGTTGTTGTTTTTGTTGTCAAGTCATATTTTTGCAAAGAAAGCAATAGAATTTCGAGCGAAAGATAAGATGTAATAATAACTTTTGCAAATACTTAAATAAATTTGATAAATAGTAATAAAATAGTTTACAAATTAAAAATAAATTTATAAAACAAGTGCAATTTTATAAGAACTGTAAACAAACAATCAAAAATCAATAAGACTTTTTCTCTAATTAACGTGATGAAATTGTAAAATAAAACAACAAAAATCCCTCAAGTAACTTATGGGAGTAACTATGACAACATTGTGCGTTGGTGGGTGTCATAAACAAATGGAATTTTCTACTTAATTAACTCGATTAAAAAAAAAACTTACTTACGAAACAAAGAAAAGCAGAATCTCTTAAAAACATGTTATTTTTAGATAAATTTTTACCTTTAATATTTGTCTATATACGACCATTTATCAAATGGTTCCTGCACACATTCACCCGCCTGTGTGAACTACAGCGTATCTGTTATGGAGCTCAGGCTGGTGCCAGTAGAACCAAACAAGTGGAAAGATCTTTATCGCTCTCCAAACAAATGGAAATTAAACAATTGTTAAGGGAGCTAGATGAGGCGGCGGAACACTGCAATGAAGAGGAATTAAGACGTTTTCCTCCCCAAGCTATTGCTGTAGTGCAGAGGGTAAAACATATTAAATCACGTATACATCCCGACTTTAGTGCCTTATTTGGAGCTTGTGTTTTACAAATATGGAGTTACAAACATTTGATGCATGAGGTAGAACGTTTAAGGTCCGAAGCCTACGATTCGGATAATTTGGATCATGAGCACAAGTTGTTGGAATTGTGGAAATATCTTATGCCGAAAGAACCTTTGGATGGTAGAATCTCCAAGCAATGGCAGGAAATAGGATTTCAGGTAAGTTTTTTTTTATAAAAAAAAAGTAAAATAAACTAACTCCATACGGCTTTTAGGGCGATGACCCCAAAACTGATTTTCGCGGCATGGGCATGTTGGGTTTGGAAAATCTGCTCTACTTTGCCCGTGAATACCAAGAGGCTGCCCAGCATGTGCTGTTACACTCCATGCATCCTACTTTAGGTTATACTTTTGCCATTGTCGGCATTAATTTAACCGCCATGGCCTATCGTCTTCTCAAATCGGGCGAAGCTAAGACACATTTTTACAATGTCTCACAAGCTACTAAACAACCTTGTTCTCTGTCTCAATTTCACAAATTCTATTGTTATTTATTATTTGAATTTGATCGTTTCTGGTTGGAATCTGAACCGACGAATATTATGGATTTTCGTGAAATTTACCAAAGTTTTGAGATAACCATCATGGAGGCTTTACAACGTGATAACACTGTGTTTAAAACTAATTTGGTAGTAGAAGAGATTTAAGTAGTTTTAAATTTTACGAAATTTTTTCAAATCTAAAGTAATTAGTAAATTTAATAGTAAAGTGAATTATTTTTTTTTTTGCAAATTTAAATTTCGAAAAAATTATTAAAGCTTTATGTGTAAAAAAGGAATTATTGTAAAATTTTTGGTATAAATTGCATTTGTAAGTGGAAATATTTTTTTATAATAAAAAAAATTTGGAGAAAAATTGTTTTGTGTCTTCGCTTAGTTCATTTTGCCTTGGGCAAAATGTGATTAAGTTCAAGTTTGGTTCTGGATTAAGTTCCTTATTAACATTGAATTAGTTCTAATTCAGTTCGGCTTTGATTCGGTTTAGTTTTGGGTAAGTTCTAATTCAGTTTTAGTTCTGTTCTAGCTCAATTCTAGCTCCGTTTTAGTTTATAGTTCAGTTCTGCATCAGTTCTCTTTCAGTTCTAGGTCAGTTTTATTTCAGTTCTAATCTAATTCAGTTCTAGTTTAGTTCGAGTTTAGTTCTAGTTCAGTTCTAGTTAAGTTCTAGTTCAGTTCTAGTTCAATTCTAGTTTAGTTCTAGTTCAGTTCTAGTTCAGTTTTAGTTCAGTTCTGTATCAGTTCTCGTTCAAATTTAGTTCAGTTTTAGAGCAATTCTAATTCAGTTCTAGCTCAGTTCTACATCAGTTTTAGCTCAGTTCTAGTTCAGTTCTGGAACTGTTCTAGCACAGTTCTGGTTTTGTTCTAGTTTAGTTCCCTCACAGTTCAGTTCTGGATCAGTTCTAGTTCAGTTCTAGTTTAGTTCTAGTTTAGTTCTAGTTTAGTTCTAGATTAGTTCTAGTTTGGTTCTAGTTCAGTTCCAGTTCAGTTCTAGATCAGCTCTAGTTCATCTGCAGTTCACTTCTATTTCAGTTTTAGTTCAGTTCTAGTTCAGTTCCAGTTCGGCTCCAGTACTGGTTCAGTTCTAGTTCAGTTCTAGTTCAATTCTTGTTCAGTTCTTGTTCAGTTCTAGTTCACTTCTTGTTCAGTTCTAGTTCAGTTCTTGTTCAGTTCTTGTTCTGTTCTAGTTCAGTTCTAGTTCAGTTCTTCTAGTTCATCTGCAGTTCACTTCTATTTCAGTTTTAGTTCAGTTCTAGTTCAGTTCCAGTTCAGCTCCAGTACTGGTTCAGTTCTAGTTCAGTTCTAGTTCAATTCTTGTTCAGTTCTTGTTCAGTTCTAGTTCACTTCTTGTTCAGTTCTAGTTCAGTTCTTGTTCAGTTCTAGTTCAGTTCTAGTTCAGTTCTTGTTCAGTTCTTGTTCAGTTCTTGTTCAGTTCTTGTTCAGTTCTTGTTCAGTTCTAGTTCACTTCTTTTTCAGTTCTAGTTCACTTCTTGTTCAGTTCTAGTTCAGTTCTAGTTCGGTTCTAGTTCAGTTCTAGTTCAGTTCTAGTTCAGTTCTAGTTCAGTTCTAGTTCAGTTCTAGTTCAGTTCTAGTTCAGTTCTAGTTCAGTTCTAGTTCAGTTCTAGTTCAGTTCTAGTTCAGTTCTAGTTCAGTTCTAGTTCAGTTCTAGTTCAGTTCTAGTTCAGTTCTAGTTCAGTTCTAGTTCAGTTCCAGTTAAGTTCTAGTTCTGTTCGGTTCTAGTTCAGTTGTAGTTCTGTTCTAGTTCAGTTCTAGTTCAGTTGTAGTTCAGTTCTAGTTCAGTTCTAGTTCAGTTCTAGTTCAGTTCTAGCTCAGTTCTAGTTCAGTTCTCGTTCAGTTCTAGTTCAGTTGTAGTTCAGTTCCAGCTCAGTTCTAGTTCAGTTCTAGTTCAGTTCTAGCTCAGTTCTACTTCAGTTCTTGTTCTGTTCTAGTTCAGTTTTAGTTCAGTTCTGTATCAGTTCTCGTTCAAATTTAGTTCAGTTTTAGAGCAATTCTAGTTCAGTTCTGGATCAGTTCTAGCTCAGTTCTACATCAGTTTTAGCTCAGTTCTAGATCAGTTCTGGAACTGTTTTAGCACAGTTCTGGTTTTGTTCTAGTTTAGTTCCCTCACAGTTCAGTTCTGGTTCAATTCTAGTTTAGTTCTAGTTTAGCTCTAGTTTAGTTCTAGTTTAGTTCTAGATTAGTTCTAGCTTAGCTCTAGTTTAGTTCCAGTTCAGTTCTAGTTCAGCTCTAGTTCATCTGCACTTCTATTTCAGTTTTAGTTCAGTTCTAGTTCATTTCTAGCTCAGTTCTACCTTAGTTCTAGTTCCAGTTCAGCTCCAGTACTGGTTCAGTTCTAGTTCAGATCTGGTTCAGTTCTAGTTAAGTTCTAGTTCAGTTCTTGTTCAGTTCTAGTTCAGTTCTTGTTCAGTTTTTGTTCAGTTCTTGTTCAGTTCTTGTTCAGTTCTAGTTCACTTCTTGTTAAGTTCTAGTTCAGTTCTTGTTCAGTTCTAGTTCAGTTCTAGTTCAGTTCGGTTCTAGCTCAGTTGTAGTTCAGTTCTAGTTCAGTTGTAGTTCAGTTCTAGCTCAGTTCTAGTTCAGTTCTCGTTCAGTTCTAGTTCAGTTGTAGTTCAGTTCTAGCTCAGTTCTAGTTCAGTTCTTGTTCAGTTCTTGTTCTGTTCTAGTTCAGTTGTAGTTCAGTTCTAGCTCAGTTCTAGTTCAGTTCTAGTTCAGTTCTAGTTCAGTTCTAGTTCAGTTCTAGTTCAGTTCTAGTTCAGTTGTAGTTCAGTTCTTGTTCTGTTCTAGTTCAGTTCTAGTTCAGTTGTAGTTCAGTTCTAGTTCACTTCTTGTTCAGTTTTAGTTCAGTTCTTGTTCTGTTCTAGTTCAGTTGTAGTTCTAGCTCAGTTCTAGTTCAGTTGTAGTTCAGTTCTAGCTCAGTTCTAGTTCAGTTCTCGTTCAGTTCTAGTTCAGTTGTAGTTCAGTTCCAGCTCAGTTCTAGTTCAGTTGTAGGTCAGTTTTAGCTCAGTTCTTGTTCAGTTCTAGTTCAGTTCTAGTTCAGTTCTAGTTCAGTTCTAGTTCAGTTCTAGTTCAGTTCTAGTTCAGTTCTAGTTCAGTTCTAGTTCAGTTCTAGTTCAGTTCGAGTTCTAGTTCAGTTCTAGTTCAGTTCTTGTTCTGTTCTAGTTCAGTTCTAGTTCAGTTCAGTTCTAAAAGAAAATCGCTTCTATATTTATTTTTTATTTGCTTTATCGTTTTTAAATTTTATTTGTATCTTTTTTTTGTTTAATTTTGTGTTTTACATTCTGGGTTTTATAGTTTATATAGTTAAATATATAAATATGTATCTGCGTTATATGTTTTAATTTTCATTTAAATATTTTTATGCACTTTTTTCCATTATTTGGCAAATACGCCTTTAGATTGAAACGTATATAAAGAAATTACGAGTAGGAAGAGAGACAAAGATAAATATAATAAAATCATAAAATATAAATTACTAGTAAAAAAGCAAAAATAACTTAAACTTATAATAAAAAAAAATTACAAATTAATACTTTGACATTTTTATAAAGGAAACATAAGATTGAGCGGCTTTTAAGTAGAGTCTTTAATTTACTCTACTACACTGAGTTTTTTTTTTTTTTTAATTAAGTCTTTTATTTACTATAATAAAATTAAATTTAAAAATAATAATCTATATTTTTATTTTGCTTGAAATCAGGAATGTTTCTGTTAGTAAAAAATAATTGGCATTTTTAAAATATTATTTTAAATTCGTGTTACAACATAAAATCACCTTTAAATGCAAGAAAGTTACATTTTTTTTAAATAAAAAACAAAAAATGAAATAAAAAAATATAATAAATTAAAATATCACTTTTAACTGAGATTTATCATAAAACCATAAACAATTACTTAAACAAAACAAAATGAAAAATAAACCAAGATAAGAACTTTTTCTGTTTAAACTTTGAAAAGAAAACTTGAATTATGTTAAAGTCTAATTAATTACAATTTTTACTTAATTATAATTACTAAATAGATTTTTTTTGTTAATTTCTTAGCAGCAAGCTTGTGTTTTTTTTTTTTTTTTTTTTTTTTTTTTTTTTTTGAGAGACAAGTGTGTGTTGGTTTTAATCGTAAAAATGTTTTCGTTTTTTCTTCAAGTATAAAAAAATCGTTTTGTTTTTATCATCAGCATCACATTATTTTCTTTCCAGCAATTGCTTCTTTCTGTTTAAATTCTCTTCTCTTAACGATAGAATTTAACCTCAGCTTCTACACAATCCTTCATCAATTCATCCAATTCCTCATTGACTTCAGGATGTTCAGCTAAATAGGCCGAAACTTCCTCAACACAAGCTGCCTCTAATGCTTTCAAATGCTCCAAAGAGGCCGGCTTACGTTGTCCATGCAATTTGTGCAATAATGTTATTTCATTATCAGCTGGCACTTTAGTGAGTGGTGATATTTTGGGTTGGGGGGCAAAGACGAATGGTTTAAATACCGATTCGCTGGCATTGGGTGTTGCCGTAAACCAATGACATGAAATGCCATTATTACACAAAACAAAAACTGTAGCTGAACGTGAGGAGGCTGCATTGGCCGAAGAGCGTAAAGTTTCAAACATACTGGTTAGCGAATAGGAGCCATCGTCGGAAGGTTCATCGCCACTCCAATCGGTGGAGGAGTTGGGAGAACAGTCAAAACAGGCTGCAAAGTTTAGGTCACCCTGGTGGAGGAAGAAATAGAGAAAAATTAATTATTTTATTAAATTTATTAAAACAGATTTAAGCTTTAACTGAATGCTTCTTAAAAGCTTTTTGTGAAAGCTTCTTAAAAGCTTTAGTGAAAGCTTCTTAAAAGCTTTTAGTGAAGCTTCTTAAAAGACTTTAGTCAAAGCTTCTTAAAAACTTTTAGTGAAAACTTCTTAAAAGCTTTTAGTAAAACCTTCTTAAAAGCTTTTAGTGAAAGCTTCTAGTGAAAGCTTCTTAAAAGCTTTTAGTGAAAGCTTCTTAAAAGATTTTTGTGAAAACTTTCTAAAAGCTTTTTGTGAAAACTTTTTAAAAGTTTTTTGTGAAAGCTTTATAAAAGCTTTTTAGATGCTTTTTGTAAAAACCTCTTAAAGCTTCATAAAAGTTTTTTGTAAAATCATCTTAAGAATTTATTAAAGCTTTTTTTAAATCTTTCTGCAAGTTTTCTATGAAACCTTCTTTATCGTGTTTATTAAAATAATTTTAAAAACTTTTTGAAAGCAATTGTGTTTAAGTTTTCAAAAGTTTATGAAAACACTTTTGTGAAGTCATTTTAAAAAAGTTTTACGAAAACTATTTGAAAGCTTTTTTAAAGATGAAATTAAATTAAAGATTTTCAAAAGAAACTCAAATATTTTGCAAAAGCTTTCAATAATATGTAATTTCTTTCTTGTGAGAGTTTGTATTTTATATTTTTCGTGTTAAAAAGTTTGTGGCTTAGCTTTTTGATTAAAAAGTTTGTTTTGTAGAAATGCTTTAATGCTTTGTGACCAAATGTTTTTATATTTTTCTATGAAAAAATTAAAACAAAGCTTTTTAGTTTTTTTAAATGAGGTTTTTATAAACAAAAGCTTTTTTATACAGAGCTTTTATATGCAGAAGTTTTTTGTGGAAAGCCTTTACATGGAAAATCTTGTTTGTGAATAGCAGTCAAATGAAAAAGCTTTTATATGAAAAAGCTTTTTTATAGAAAACCTCTAAGTAAAAAGCTTTTATGGAGACAGTTTTATATAGAATGCTAATAGTTGAAAAAGCTTTTTTGTAAAAGCTTTTATATGAAAAAGATTTCTGTAGAAAGCTTTAATTATAATTTTTTGTACAAAGCTTTTAACTAAAAGAGGTTCTTGTAGAATGCTTTTAAGAAAACTTTTCTTGAAAAATAAAACAAATTCCTATAAAATTAAAAATTTGAACGTTTCTATAAGAAACGTTTCTAAAGTTTTCTAAAGTTATGTCTTCGATAAAACTTTCTTAACAAAATCTATTTTAAGTAAGCATAACATTTGGGAAAGCTTTTATTTGAATAATAATCTCATAAAGAAATTTAAAATGAAATGGATTGCATCAATATTTAGACAATAATGGAACAACATGCTTCCAAGGAACCAAAAATACTATCAGTAAATGTTTCATAAGCCAATCATCACTGAACAGTAATGCAGCACTTCTATTAACATTTAAATGTAAACTTTATAAGACTTATGTTAATCGTCTTACGTCTTACAGAATCTCATATGTTAATAGCTCAACAAAAAATCTATCCACTCTACCTACATACATACATATGTATGTATATGCAATCAAATATCTGAATCATCTTTTTCTTCACTATATCAACTCACCTCACCATCCCAGCATCCCAAAGTCTTCAAAGCATCAGACAAACCCTCTATGGATTTGTCAATAGTGGTGGTCACAGCCAAACCATCACTGGGTAAATGATGATAGCCAGAGGTTAATTGCTGAGCAGCCCACAATTTGCCGGCACAACTAATTAACCAGACCTGAGAAGGATCACAGACGATTAAACTGAATTTGGTGTCATCATGACCGTGCTGGGCCACCAATTCGCCCACACGCTCAACAGCAGCTTCGGCAGACTCAGCTGAGGCCAAAGACAAACGCACTACATCAAAAGCGGATAAATCACTTTCAGCATCATTGCTCCAAGTAATGGCCACACTAAGATTACGTTCATTCGAGCCGCAATCACCACCCCAGACACCTGGTTTAGGTTTTTGCAATATTACACGCAAAGCAGAAGCATCTCCCACCAAGTCAGTCTAATAAAATAATAAATGAGATCATTAGATGTTTAATTTTTTATGGAGCAAAAGCTAACACACTTACCTTGCCCTCTAGGGACTCGGAATTATCGTAATAGAAGACTTCTTGGGCCACACCCACCAAACTTTCATTTTCAGCATTACGTCCTAAGATGACAGTATCCGTGGCACAATTTGGTGGCATGACTACAAAACAATTACCTTGAGAACTCATTTTGTTTCTTTTTTTATTAAACTTTGAAACTCTTAACGCAGCAAGAAAAGTTCGGAATAAGGAAAAATCTTCTTCCGCAGAAAAATTGATTTTTCTCAATCAGCAGCTGCCAACGTCAACGACCCAACAATAATACGCACACAGAGGCACTCACACAAATACTAGACAGGAAATGCAGCAATTTTTTTATGGAATTGTTGGCAAATTTACTGTAATTTCTTTAGAAATTTGTTTAATAGTTATGTTTAATTAAGGATAATTTTCTTTTAAAATTGTTTAATTAATTATGTTGTGTCGTATTCACCTTTTCTTCTATAACTCTGCGTCTGTGTATAATAATTAATGACAAATTTTTTACTTTCAAATCTGCAAAAAGGGTGTTTTGTACAGCGTTGCCGTTGTGTGACTAATAAAGTAGCAATTTGACTGTTTTTTTTAAGTGCCTTGCCACTTTTTTGTAAAATTAACTAAATTTGCGATTTTTTTTTGTTACAAGATAAAATCACTTGAACTTTTCCAACCCTGAATCTGCCCATACTGTAATTTGTTTTATTAATAAAAGAAAACGCATCATTAACATTACTTATTTGTAAACTATCACACCAGGGATGGTATTTGACATAATTGGCAAACAAATTGTTTTCGAAAAAGGATATTTTTACTTAATTGTTTTTTACAAATCTTTAGTGAAACTGCATTTTATAACCTATAAAATGTTATACAAGTGAAAACTCCTATTATTTCTGATAAAATTTGTTCAATGTATGACATAAATTTTATGCCCAAAGTCTAACTGCATTAACATTTCCAAGCCTGCCATACTGCGTGAAATAGAAACATTGATTATTAGTTTTTCATTTCTCATTAACGAATCAAGTGCGTTGTGAAAATGGTGCAAAGAAATTTGTATAAATATTTCTAGAAATAACAATAATTATAAACAAAAACTAAATAAGAAATATAATTTAAACAATAATATACCATATACAAATTAAATTAACTAAAAAATAGTGAAATTTATAAAGAAAAACTTGAAAGAAAAAAATTCTAAAAAGAAGAAAAAATTTTTTCTTGTCTATTGCCAAAGCGGTATGTTCAGTGTGTTTTGTTATAATAATTATATAGCCATCTCTTTTGCACCCATATAAAATCCAATAAGAATTGACAAAAAGTGTTTTTTTAATGTTGAATGTGTGTGTTTGTGCGTTTGCTTATACATGTGAAAATGCAAAGTGTATTTTTTTTCTGAATTGTTTTTGATTACACAGTTTTTTTCTTGGTCTCTTTCACCTTCCTTTTCTACTTTACTTCTATATAGAAGAAAATACTTAACGTCTACGTAGAAGAAAAGAAAAATATAAGAATTTTAAGAACATTGACGTTAGTGAGTGCTGGTTTCGACTAAAAAAAAGGATTTTTTTAATAAAATTCCTTAAATAATTTAAAGAATACATTTCAATAAATAATCAAAACCCATAGAAATTGTATTTAAAGGCAATTTAAATAAAAATTTTAAGAAAAAAGTGTACAGAACAAGTGAAAATTTTGTAAAGTGTGTGTGTGTGTTTGCATGTTAAGACAAGCTGGAGAAAATCAATAAAAGTTTTTGTTAAATATTTAGGACAAAGTGAGTTTTTCTTGTAATATTTCAATAAATAATTATGTTTATTAGGTTTCTCTAGTTTTTCGCTGTAAAATTCTTAAAATATTTTATTAAATTAAAAAAAGAAAAAATGCAAAACAAGTTTTTCACACTTGGGTGCTTTTTTCATAAAGGCGTGTTACGTTTTTTCATATTTTTTTTCACATTTGCCCGCTAAGACCATTTATACCACCGAAAGCGTTGTTTGACCACTTTAGTTAAAGTGTTTTAAAATGTTTACGCGCTTTTTTGGGGCTTTTAATCCTAAATCTTATAGTTTTAATAAAATATGAAATCAAACATTATTTTTATAATACAAAAATCAATAGAATTTTAGTATACCAGAATTTTTTTCCAAATCTTTTTTTCTTCCTAGTAAGAGAAAAAAAAAAGCGCCCTTTTTATTATCATCAACATCATCATCATCATTGCATATTTGTGTGTAACAGTAGCAACAACAACAACAGCTTTCCTTGAGCTTACTTACTTTAACCTACCCTCTCACTTTTCATTCCCCCCTTAATTTTTCAAGTTGTTTTTTATCATTTTGCATTTTGTTTTCTTCTTCTACTTACTATTCACAGTTACTTGCAGTGAATTGTAGTGTATTCATACATCCTCCCTCATTTTCTTAATTTTCTTATTTGTTTGAGATTTTGTTTTGTTCTATTCTCTTTTGTTAATTTTTTATGTTTTGTTGCTATTTTTCTAATTGTCATTTCTTGCTTTTCTTCCATATTTTTCTATTCATATTTATTTATGAATAAGTTTATAGTTATGTTTGTAAGTGTGTGTATTTTAATGTTATGTCAGCATTTTTTGTTTACAAATAAAA